TCTAAGGAAAGTCTAGAGTAAATTAGCAAAAGTCAGATCGGTTAGCAATGGTTGAATTGGCATGATGGTGGCAATGGTTAGTTCCTTCAGCGTGTAAGTTATACATGTGATTGGGGCGGTACGTGTGAGTCTTGACGACCACCATGATTTGATTGAATTGGAGGTATTCGATTATTATGGCATGTTATGTGTAGATGGATCCTAGAAGAGTCATGGTGGTTTCGACCACTACTTGGGGTTGTATTTTCTGCGGTTATGAGAGTTTGGTCGCGTGTTGCAATGTTTCTCCTGAAATGAGCTAAGTAAAAGGTTTATATATGATGAAGTGTTTATCCTATTAGTGGTTCAGGAGTTATGGTAAAATTCTTGTACTCTCATGTATTGGCATGTTAGGGGCAGTGAGCGGCATGGGAAATTAGAAGCTGAGGATCAAGGTTGCGATTCGGTGTTGACGAGAATGTCACGAGCTCGGATGAGCAGGAAATAATTAAGATGTTTAGAGTAAGCTGGTATTGTCTTCAACGTCACCTGAGACCGGTGTCATGTGTAAGAGGTTTTGTGTACTGATTTGTGGACTTTCGATTCGCTTTACAACATTGTATAGCTGGTGGTATGGATGTGCAGTCTTTGTTACCTGGTGCGGAAGGTCGTGGGAGTGTATCCCACGGGAAGATTGTATAAGTGTGACATGTAGTCACTTGATTGATTAAAGATTGAAACCAAGTATGGAGATTTTGGTACCATCGCTAATGTGAGAGTTTAGGCCTGAAAGGCGCTCTATTCAGTTGGTTGTGAGTTGTGGAAGTTTGTTCCGGATTCGATAGTTGCTCTTGCGTGTCATGGGAAGAGGGTCATTGTGGATCCTTGAGAGCTTATTTGCCAAGCATGGTATAATCAAAATCGGTTTGAGGTCCGTTGAGGGGTCCAAATGTAGATGTTTACTCTACACCAGCCTGGGTGTGTTCATTCAGCATAGCATTCCTTATGAAAGAGTATTCGGAGGTTGGATGTTAATTCCGTCGTCAGCTATTTCATATAATACTCTACTGTGTCGTGTGGGTTGTGAGGCGATTTGATTATTCGCACTCGTATTGAGATTCTGTGTAATTGTGGTGTTATATGAGCAGAATTGCTCTCGAGATACATGTCATTTATCGCACCTTAGTCGTGCTTGAGTTTTGTAGCATATCGCACTATTTGTCTCCCCAGGGATGGTATTATGCACTTGACGTGCTTGTGGTCGACATTCGGGTATTTTGCAGGCATGAGCATTCTAGCTCGGTAAGTATTTCCTTACAGATTATTATGTGTGGATCGGGTGGAACGTCACCACGGGTATGCTGTTTGGATCGGGTGGCACGCTGCCACTGGTATCATGGTTGGATCGGGTTGCACGCCGCAACGGTATCATGTGTGGATTGGGTTGCACGCCGCAATAGAGGGATGTGGAGTACAGTTCCCCATATCTATTCTAGTGTGTTTTGTTCCTCATTTTCTGAGGAAGGTTCATGACATCTTTTCAGTTGTTTAATTAGTTATGTGGGTTGAGTAGTTCTTTCCAGAGTTCATTCTTCCTTATGTATCACATTCGAGTTTGTAGCTTGGTGGCACATTGTGGCATCATGCGAGACTTTTGGTAGTGTTTGAGGTGGCTTATTGCCTAAGAATCTTGTACTGGGTGAGACGAGATTATTGGACTTGAAATTAGTGTGACCAGATTTATATAAGGTGCATTAAAGAGAAGATATCGTTATTCAGTTCAGAGTAAGGTAATGGTTATTGTCAGGAGGAGAGACTCCACGAATCGTTTATTCGGCAGGTAGTTATGAGTGTTACCCATGTTTTTCGTCATGGCAGTATTGCGAGAGTTGGAACAGTACTTATAGGTATCATGAGGTGTGTTGTGGGCACCAGATTCATGAAATTGCAACTATTATGGTCCGGGGATATTATTATGGTTATGTGAATTATGCGGTGCAAGGTGTGAATTCAGCAAGGGTATACTATCATGTTTTAGTACGGAGTCTGGTGATTGATACGGTGTTCGTGTGTTAGAATCTGGTATCGTGGAGAATTTCATATGTTGCAATTTGGCTCTAAGGCTTATTTGACTAAATAAAAGAGAGGAATTTCATACTGGCTCGAGCTAATGTGACCAACTGAGTTGTGATAGCCCGGTTAGGTGCACGAGGTATTAAATAGTAATTTTGGACAACTCAGAAATAGTTCTTAGGACGATCGAGGATGAACGTATGTTTAAGTGGGAGAGAATGTAACGACCCGATCTGTCATTTTGAGTTCTAGCGCGTCATTCTGCGGTTTGAGGCAATGAGTAGCTTCACTTCGGATATTATGACTTGTACATGTGGTCGGAATTAAAATTCGGGAAGTTCGGAGTTGGTTTGGAGAGAAAATTCTAATTTCAGAAGCTTTAAGTTAGAGGAATTAACTAAGGGTTGATTTTGAGCAAACGGCCTCGGAATCGGGATTTGAAGGTTCCAACAGTTTTGTATGATGATTTTGGACTTGGGCGTATGTCCAAATCGGGTTTTGGATGACCCAGGAGTATTTCGATGCTTATTACGGAAGGTTGGCATTTGGAATAATTTCATAAATTTAGGTTGAAGTGCATTTCAATGTTATCGATGTCCGTTTGGAATTTCAAGTCTGAGAATAGCTCCGTATGATAATTCTGGCCTTAGGAGCGCGTCCAGAAGTGGATTTGGAGGTCCGTAGGTCATTTGGCGAAAGTTGGAAATTTGGATAATTTTGAGAAGTTTGATCGGGAGTAGACTTTTTGATATCAGGGTCGGATTCCGATTTCGGAAGTTAGAGTAGGTCTGTAATGTCAATTATGACTTATGTGCAAAATTTGAGGTCAATCGGACGTGATTTGATAAGTTTCGGCATCGATTGTAGAAGGTTGAAATTTCAAAGTTCATTAAGCTTGAATTGGAGGGTGATTCGTAGTTTCGATATTGTTTGGCGTGATTTGAGGCCTCGACTAAGTTCGTAATGTGTTTTGGTATGTGTTTGTATAATTAATTGAGGTACCGAGGGCCTCGAGTGGATTCCAGATGGTAAACAGATCGAGTTTGGGCTTGAAGGAATGTTGGAGCTACTATTATCTGGTAAAACCGCACCTGCGAGGTTTTGGCCGCAGGTGCGGAGCCGCAAAAGCGGCCAGGAGGTCGCAGAAGCAAAGTCCGCCGGTGCGGACCATTTGCCGCAGAAGCGAATGCGCACCTGCGGTGGGATTTGGCACAGAAGCGGGCTGGGCAGCTGGGGGACCTCCGCAGAAGCGGAACTTTTTGCCACACCTGCAATACCGCAGAAGCGGTCCACTGAGCGTAGGTACGAAGGTCGCCTGGTCAGAATACATAAGTTAGCCAAATCGGGTTTTGTCTCATTTCACCTATTTTCTCTCGTTGAAGCCGGCCTTGGGGGCGATTTTTGGAGTGCCATTTTGTCATCCTTCATGAGGTAAGTGATCCCCACACATTGTGAGTTAAACACATAGTTTATATATAGATTTAAGCATGGAAATTTGTAGAAATTTAGGGTTTTGAAGAAAAACCTAGAAATTGGTATTTTTAGATTTTGACCACGAAGTTTATCATGAAATTGAGAATGAATTATATATTTTAGTTCGTAATGCTATGGGTAGTGTTTATCTTTGAAAAGTTTTGGAATCCGGGCACGTGGGCCCGAGGGTTGCTTTATCGATTCTTCGAGCGGAGTTGAAAATTGTTATAAATTGATTTACAATTAGCGTTTGAGTATGTATTTATTGATTTACACATTGATTGACTAGTTTTAGAGCGTTGGGCATCAGTTTGAGTTGTTGGAAAGGCTTGGGAGCCGGTTATGGAATTTCGGAGCGAGGTAAGTCTCCTTTCTAACTTTGTAAGAGGGAATTAACCCCATAGGTGAATTGCTTTAATATGTTCTTCTATTTGTGGGGGATACATACGTACGGGGTGACGAGAGTCCATGCATAGCTACTATTATGCTTATGTTCGGGTCCTTAACTTCATATGTGCCGTGTAAATGTTAAGGACATGGCATCCTTCACTTCATGTGTGCGGTGTAAATGTTAAGGACATAATGTCCTTAACTTGTATTTGCACCTTCTGTTGTTAAATTTTAGGACCTCATGTTCTTAACTTCATATGTGCAGTGTAAATGTTAAGGACATAGTGTCCTTAACTTCATGTGTGTAGTGTAAATGTTAAGGACATAATGTCCTTAACTTTATGAGTGTTGTGTAAATATTAAGGATAAAGTGTCATGTATTTGCACCTTCCGCTGTTAAATTTTAGGACATCATGTTCTTAACTTCATATGTGAAGTCTAAATGTTAAGGACATTGCGTCATTAACTTCATGTGTGCAATGTAAATGTTAAGGACATAATGTCCTTAACTTGTATTTGCACCTTCTGTTGTTAAACTTTAGGACCTCATGTCCTTAACTTCATATGTGCAGTGTAAATGTCAAGGACATGGTGTCCTTAACATCATGTGTGCAGTGTAAATGTTAAGGACATAGTGTTCTTGACTTTATGACTGTTGTGTAAATATTAAGGACATGGTGTCCTTAACTTCATGAATGATATGTAAATATTAAGGACAAAGCGTCCTGTATTTGGACCTTCCGTTGTTAAACTTTAGGACATCATGTCCTTAACTTAATATATACAGTGTAAATGTTAAGGACATGGCGTCTTTAACTTCATGTGTGTAGTGTAAATGTTAAGGACACTATGTCCTTAATACTTACACAACACTCATGAAGAAAGGGTAACAACATCTTTTCGTATTAATTTTAATAGAGTAGTGACTATTTTTGCTCAGCATTAAAAATACTAAATAAAAACTAAATACCATGTTAAAAAATGGCTATCTCACGCCATTTCTACCATCTTGAACCAGCATGCTTTAACGCTAATAACTTGGATTGGGCTGACCTATTCGGCCCATCTCTATTTCAAACTATTGTCTCTGCTGGGAAGAGCAGTCAGAAAAGAGGGCAGAATAGGAGGGTTCTGAAACAACAATTGTAAAGAAAGAAAAGATTCATAGAATGAGGAGGAATGGTAACCTGACCATCCTTGGATCAATAAAATCTTGGAAGTCACTGTTGGATCTAAAGAGGAAGGACCAAATATCAACTGCTGCACTCTCTACATCGAGCAGAAGAAGAATCCCAACTGTTTTCAATCTTGTTCGTTTATATTCTACAGAAGAGCTGCAGCAGCCTCAATTATCTGTTGACCTAATTAAAATGATGGAACAAAGATTATCATCAATTGAGAACAGAAATCTTCATCTTCAGCGTTTTCTAAATCAGCCAGAGTTAACACCTTCTGAATATTCAACTGCCAACAAAGAGCTCAAGAAACTCAGAGATTCAGTACATCTCATAACCGAGTTAAGGGCAAAACAGAAGGAGATTCAGGAACTGAAATCGGTAATTTCCGAATGCCAAGATGACAAGGACATGCAGAAGATGGCTTCTGAGGAATTGAGTGAAGCCACAGAAGGAGAAAAAGAATTGCAGCTTCTCCTTCTAAAANATTCAGGAACTGAAATCGGTACTTTCCGAATGCCAAGATGACAAGGACATGCAGAAGATGGCTTCGGAGGAATTGAGTGAAGCCACAGAAGGAGAGAAAGAATTGCAGCTTCTCCTTCTAAAGTCATTACTACCCAAAGACGATGCTGACGAGAGGGACTCCATTCTCGAAGTGAGGGCAGGAACTGGAGGGGAAGAAGCTTCTTTGTTTGCAATGGACATATTCAAAATGTACGAAAAATATTCTGCGAAGAAAGGTTGGAAATACGAGGTTCTAGAAATAGCTGAGTCTGATCTTAAAGGATACAAAGAAGCTATTGCCTCTATATCTGGATCTGGTGTGTACGGGAAACTAAAATTCGAGAGTGGAATTCACAGAGTTCAGCGAGTGCCCGTGACAGAGAAAGGTGGACGCGTTCACACCAGTGCTGTCTCCGTTGCAATTCTACCGCAGGCAGATCAGTTAGATGTGAAATTGAGGAATGAAGATTTGAGAATTGATACTTACAGGTCAGGAGGATCAGGAGGTCAGCATGCGAATACCACAAACAGTGCTGTGAGAATCACTCACGTGCCATCGGGGATAACTGTTTCCATACAAGACGAGCGATCCCAGCATATGAACAAGGCCAAAGCACTAAAAATATTGTGTGCAAAACTATATGAAATCGAGCGACTCAGATTTCAGTCGAGTAGATCAAAACTTCGATTAGAGCAGATTGGCAGTGGGGACAGATCTGAACGGATCCGCACCTATAACTTCCCTCAAGGACGGGTTACTGATCACCGTGTTGGCATTACAACTCATTCCATAGATGATGTTATGCAGGGAGAGGATTTGGATACTTTCATTGATGCTCTCCTTTTGCGGGAGGAAATGGACGCGATTGCATCCTTCAGCTCCACCTAATGTTAGCTGTCAGCAATCTCACTGGTTAGTGGTGGTGGGATTGTGCATTGTTAAATTGTTGTTTCCATTGTGCTTCAAACTGTTAATTAGAGCAACAATTTTTTTTTTCCGATGAAGCTACCTGTCAAATACTTTAGATGGAGGGAAGTTTTTTAGGTAGGGAAGCTGGAAATAAATGAAGTGCATGCTATGTGCGCGGCAGGTCCTTTTATTTCTTTTCCTTGGTTCAGCCTCCAGATTGGGCTAGAAGATCATCTTCTTGACTTTGTGTTCATGTGAGTACATTTCAACTCATTCATTTGTCGTTTACACCAGAACATGTTTATTTGTTAGTATATACTTATGTTGGTTACCTGCTCTTATACCTAAAAGAGGTTATCATCTGCTATATCCTTGAATCTGAGTGCTAAGAGTTGTTGAAGTTTTGATGTTCAATCAGTTTTCTTTCTTGCTTATAATTTTGGGAAGAGTACTGCAATCAGTCTTTAAAGTGTTTGATATGCAGTTCTATGTCTATCTCTTGTGAAACTTTTTTGTGAGGAACGGAACAAAGGGAAAAATGATATACAGACTGCTAGTTTGGAGAATGAGGGTGTGGTTCTTACACATGCTGAATCATTTTAGTATGTACTTCTGTTAATTGTTTGATTCTGGTTTATCCATTAGTCATTCCACTGAGTTTTTCCTTTTTGGTCAATGATAGATTCTTGAAATTTTCTGTGCTATGAATGTAGTCATCCAATACTAGTAATTCGCCTAGGCTTTTGGCTGGAAAATTTGTCAAATCTTAACGTGAATACAGGCACCAGAAGACGAAAGTTCAACTGAACTCCATGACTGCTAGTCAATCAATTTTGAGTGTTCCTCCAAGGAATAAAGAGAAATAAGTAGGACAAAGTTTAATCTATCATCTGTTGTCTTGAACCCTGTTCTACCGGTCTAAAGTAACTCGAGAAAAGTTGAGAATGCTAAAATCTTAGGCTTTTCTAGTGATGGGAATTGCTTAAGAAATATTTAAAGTCAAAAGATATCCATCAGGGGGAATTCAAAGTTTCTAAAACAGAGTTCATTCTAGTTACAGGGTCGCCAGAAGGTAGGAGCTTTTTCCAGGAGAGAAAGATTGAGGGTTTGGAGCAGCTTCTCGAGTGTCCGTTGATTCAACCTATGGCATGAGAAGATGGCAAACTAAAATCAAGGATAAGTTTGATATCAAAGAGATCTAAATTCATCGAGCACTGCAAAAGTATGTGCAATCGAGTAGTTTCTGACAATATACCATACTAGAATAGTCCAGTTAACTCCATTCACTTGCTTGCGATTTTTTAAGTATTTGAGACTTGACTCTCGTTACAAGAAAATGAGCAACTAAGAGAGATGATGTGGATTCATTGTTAGACACCATAGAGGTTCTTGTAAGAAGAACAAGGACATACTTTTTGCTCTTTTTGATCTGTTATATGGCTACTAGCACAGTCCTTTGTGCTTAAGATATATAAGATTGTTAACCTTCTCAAAAGAAAAGAAGATGAGCAACTAAGAGAGCTGCAGATGGAAAAAGAGTTCTTCTCTTTCATCAATATAAAAAGAGGGAGCAACATTCTTTGAACACACTATCTCACTGTAAAAATATAACTTGCAAATTCTAATTTGTTAATCATCCATGCTTGATCAAACATCAAAACATGTCAAGACAATTCAATCTAGCCCAGTGATTTTAAGAGCGAGAAGCGCAAAAAAGCGACAAGGGCTCGCCTCGCTTCAAAAGCGAAGCGCAATTCTTAAAAAACATAATGTAAACCTTGCAAAGACACAATTTAAAATTATAAATAATCAAAAAGTTCAATTTATAAACTTAAAAGTAGGTACTAGGTACCACCAAATCCTCCACAAACCATAGGACACGCAAAATCAAAGCTACTAAATTACTAGAATCAACATCTTATTCTTCTACTCTTCTTGTTCTTCTTCAAGATTGTCAAAATCTTGAATTCCTCTATTATCTTCATATTGCTCGTCATCTTCTTCTTCCCCCTCCTCTTCCTCTTCATGATCACTTTCATCTTCATCAATTAGGGATAGGGATCGACTTGTAGTAGCCACACTTTTTCCCTTCCTAATCGAGCTTGAACTTGAAGTATTCCCCCTTAAACCATAAGGATTCTCCCCAACTCCACTAGCAACCGCAACATCACCCCAAGTGAAATTAGAGTCGCCTTCAAATACTTCTTCATCTTCACAATTTTCGGGGACTCCGGTTAGCCACTCATTATCCTCATCAATATTGTCCAAAATAATTGGATCAATTAGATTGCGGTGGTTGTAGCGACGCCTCAATGCTCTATTGTATTTTATGAACACTAGAATATGGAGGCGCTTCAAGGTTAGTCGATTCCTCTTATTTGTATGAATCTGCAAACAAGATGTGTCAACTAATTAGTAGGAGTTGGGACAATTGAGATATAATTTACTTTATCTCAAAACACGAAATAATTCTTTTTATTTCTAACGTGTTCAAAAACGCCCCAGTTCCTTTTACATCCGGATGAGCTACAAGTTAAACTTAGAACTTTGATGGCGAAAGTCTGTAAATCCGGAGTCTCTACACCATATTGGTCCCACCACTCAACTATAGAAGTGAAAAAAAATATTCAAGAGTTAATAAGTATAAAGAATACATTAAAGTTAAAGCTATAAAATATAAAAGCACTTGGTCACCTGGCGACTTCGTCTTTCTTTGTTTAATAGCAAGTCGGGGCTTAAAAAGTCCCTCAGCTGCCTTGTAAATAGCAAGTTGATCTACTATCTTTTTTTGCAAGTCTTCATCTGGGGTCAACTTGATAACAACCTCATGGAATCCTGTCCACACTTCTCT